GGGAGAGTTTGGGGGGGGGGAGGGGGTGCTAGCTAGTACTGAATCTGCATCTGAATTATATAGTAGATGTCGAGTAAAGCGTTGTTTAGTGTGTGTGCTTGTGTTGTGTAAAAGAAATTTGCTAGGTCAATTAGGAGGATGTCTAATGATCCTGTCAGATAACTAACGCGATTAGCTATTGAAAATAACCCCGCAGACTTCTAACGTGGGTGAGAGGATGTGCTACCAGAGACGACCGGAAACAATCCACTGCGTTCATGACACGAGGGCAATTAGCATTTAAGATAAGCAAGATGCAAGCAAGCAGGCAGAGTTGTCGGTTATACGCGCGCATGGTCTGTCTGCATTTTGTGCTGCGTGGTAGAGCAGCTACCTTTGCAAGCATTCCTAACTAACTGTCCTGTCGCTAACTGCTTACGTTCGCACCAGGGTGAGATGGAGCAGGGTCGCAGTCAGGACAAGCCGGCTAGCCCCGAACCGCAGCTGAACGATAACAAGCCACAGAGTATTGCTCAGATCATATACGCCGAAAACAGGGTCAGTCATCTCTCGATACTCTATGTACTTTCGACACCGATGTATAGTGCAATGCATGCCATGTATAGCACCTAGGCCATCCCTTAAAAAATTCTATGTTTGCTGTCCCCCAACCCATGATTTTTTTAGGGGGTAGGTAGGTAGGTCTTTTTTGAGGCATAATAGTTATTTTAAGTCTGGATTGCCACACATGCTTTGTGTTTCAGTCTTAACTATAAGGAATATAAAAAAAACAAAAAAAAACATGGAACCCAAAATGTCAAAAAAAACGTTTGGGTCGCGGCTATTTTCGTGGGTCGGTCGGAGGACAGCTAACATATATAATTTTTTAAGGATGGCTCTGTAATGAACTTTTTAGATGTGATGCGTAATGCTGGATTTCTACACTGTCGACTGTAGAAGACTGGAGTATTATAGTAACACTCGACTGATATCATATCGTCGGTCTTGCCTTGATTACTTTAAAGTTAATACTGTTTTTCTAGAAGATGGGGGAGCGAAGTGGTCATTCAATTTTCCACATTTATAGAGTAGAGATGACGTTTTATGTTACGTGACCATTTTCGTTAAAATCGTTGACGAAATTAATGATTTTGCGATTGAGCAGCGGAAAGCAGAGGCCGCCCACTCTCTGCTGGAGACTCTAGGACCGAAGGTGGAGCTGCCGCTCTACAATCAACCATCAGACACGGCCGTCTATCACGAGAACAAGAGAAAGTAAGTCGTCGCGTCTCATCGTCACACACTTCTTAGAGTGACGCGTATCCTGCACAAAGTTTAGCCGCGTTTAATGTTAGATCGACCTGCACTACCTGCTTGTAGTTACATTTACGTAGGAGACGTTGCATTCTCCAAGTAATGTTGTTAATCAATGCTTGTTGTTATTTTGAAGTCATGTCGCGGTTTAAATTTTATCGGCTACGTTAGACTTGATCCTGTGAGATTGCCACTGAGAATCGTTTTTGTTTCCAGGTTTTTAATGATTAAGAAGAGACTCGTCTTGTTCTTCAAGAAGCGTCACCAAGCCAGAAAAATTCGTGTAAGCATAAAACTGATATGCCTATAGATACTAGGTTAGCATAATCTGTAAATGGGGCTTTAAGATATTTGAATTAAAATTATTTTTTAGCGGTCACTATTAATATGAATTGTTTATATGCTATTTACAGGGTATTTAAATCTTGTCTTGTGGCTGTTCTAGGAACGATATTTGTCGGAGCGATATGACCAGTTGATGCAGGGTTGGGTGAAGAAGATGGAACGCATAGAAAATAGCACCAAGCGGAAGTTAGTACAGATTCTACACATTTGATATTACCATAAGAAGCATGTTGCCAATTCGAACAGATTGCTTAAATATTGAAGCTAATTAATAGTTGATGAAAGATGGGGTTAATTGTATATAGATTGCTTACACTCTGATTAGAATGACGCGCAGCTTATCAAAATAAATGTTTGAGGCTTTGAGCTTCGATCGTTTATTTCTTACGTTATAATAATGTAATAATTTTATTATAATTGTTATTGTTATGATTAAATTTGTATATTTATATATTGTATAATTATGATATATTATATAATAGTTGTCTTTATTTAATAATAATAATCATCGTCATCGACAATTTTTACATTATTCCATTCCTTGCTTTCGACTTTCAGGGGGAAGGATGAGGTGAGGGCAAAGGACTTCCTCAAGCACTTCCCCGAGCTGAAGAAGCAGCGGGATGAGAAGGAGCGATTCTGCCGTGCGGGGAAGGGTACCGGCATGCCGTACTACGCGCGCAGCGAGGCCGAAATGGAACAGATCATGGACTGCATACACGAACAGGAGGTGAGCGCGCGCGCGGGTGAAGCCTGGAGCGCAGAGGGCGCCGGGGTCACGCGGTTACGACGAGCGCAGGGGGCACTGGCGTCGCACGATCACGTGCACGTGTGCGGTTGTGTGTGTGTGCGGTTGTGTGTGTGTGCACGTGTGTGCGTGCGGTCGTGCGAGGGTGTATGTCTACGTGCGTGTGTGCGTAATGCCGTATGCGCAAATGTCCACTTGTGTGCCTGTTTTATGTGTGTCTTTGTCTGTGTGCGTGTGTACGTGCGTGTGTGTATGTAATCAAGCATGGATTCGTATGTGCGCCTATCTCCATGAACGTGCGCTCGTGCGTGTGCATGCGGTTTGGCCCCCTGAATCACTCTATACTCTCCTGTTCCACAGATCACGTGCACGTGTGCGTGTGCTCGTGCGTGGGTGTATCTCTGTGTGTGCGTGTGTGTCTGTGCGTGTGTCCATGTCTGTCCACACGAGTGGCTGCGATTGTGTCCTCATGCGTGCATGTGCGTGCTTGCAGCTATGGCTGTACCACTGAATCCCCGCGTCTGTTTCACAGATCACATGCACGTGTGCGTGCGGTCGTGCGTGTGCATGCGGTTGTGGCTACTGAATCCCTCTCTATACTTCGAATCCCCACGTCTGTTCCACAGATCACATGCACGTGTGCGTGCGGTCGTGCGTGTGCATGCAGTTGTGGCTACTGAATCCTCTATACTTCGAATCCCCACGTCTGTTCCACAGATCACATGCACGTGTGCGTGCGGTCACGCGTGTGCATGCGGTTGTGGCTACTGAATCCCTCTCTATACTTCGAATCCCCGCGTCTGTTCCACAGATCACATGCACGTGTGCGTGCGGTCGTGCGTGTGCATTCGGTTGTGGCTACTGAATCCCTCCTATACTTCGAATCCCCGCGTCTGTTCCACAGATCACATGCACGTGTGCGTGCGGTTGTGGCTACTGAATCCCTCCTATACTTCGAATCCCCGCGTCTGTTCCACAGATCACATGCACGTGTGCGTGCGGTCGTGCGTGTGCATGCGGTTGTGGCTACTGAATCCCTCCTATACTTCGAATCCCCGCGTCTGTTCCACAGGAGGAGGACAGGAAGATGCGCAGCCTGTCGGTGATTCCTCCGATGATGCTGGACGCTCGACAGAGGAAGCTCGTCTTCACCAACAACAACGGTCTCATCGAGGACATGAAGGTCGCCTACAAGGAACGCCAGCACCTCAACATCTGGATGCCGCAGGAGAAGGGACTCTTCAAGGAGAAGTTCCTCCAGCATCCGAAGAACTTCGCTCTCATCGCGTCCTATCTGGAGCGGAAGGTCGGTGGTGTTCGAACGTGTGGCGATTGGGAGTGACTGGGTAACCCGTTTTGCCGTGCTGTGAATTAGAATGGGATGGCAATTCTTTAGGGAGGAGGGTGGGAATTCAGTGATTGTGTTCAGTGATTTTAATTAACAGCTGTGCTAGTGGGTTTATAACCGGGGTGTCTTATTGAAGTTGTTGTCATCGTTGTTGTTGTTGTCGATGTTGTTGTTGTTGTTGACATTTTAGTTAAATTTAATTCTCTTGTTTACACAGAGTGTGAGGGATTGCATTCTGTTCTACTATCTGAGTAAGAAGAATGAGAACTACAAGCGTCCGAAGCCTCGGCCGAGACCGGGACCGAGGAAAAAGGTCAGTGGTCAATCGCTTTCTAATCACGCCATACATGCAAGAAAGTATTACACAGCTTGGCGCATGTGTCGCCAAATGATGCGAATGCCTAGGCCGATTCTTCTTAAACTTGTTAATGTTTCACCCAAGGGTGGCTGAAATTATTTTGGTGTGAATGAAACTTACCAAAAACATAAGGAAGTTTAGTCGCAGGTGAATGAAATTCTGTGATAAAGACTCGAGGGTGAATGACACTGAAATAGTTTAAGTAGCACGTGGCTAGATGACATGTGTAGCGTCTGTGTTAGTGTAGTATCCTCCTAATGCCATTGGACGAAAGACAGACGAGCTTATGGCTAGACATTACACGTAGTCTCTGCGTTAGCGTATCGGTGCTATAGTACATGTGTCTAGTGTCTGCGTTAGTGTGATATCCTCCCAAAACCATGTGACGAAATACAGACGAGCTTGTGGCTAGACATTACACGTAGTCTTTGTGTTAACATCATATCAGGGGTAGACATCATTTGGATCCTGGTGTCGATTACTTCATTAACATTGCAGACGAGGGTTATCGAACCGGAGGCGGTGCACGAGTCCGTCGTGCCGGTCTTACCACCGGGTCCGATGATCAGCCAGCCGGGTGTGGCCATCAAGCAGGAGGAGCACCAAGTGAACATCAAGCAAGAGGAGAACATTGCCACGACTACGATCGGCGGAGAGATGACGGGGTGAGTGGCGAGTGCCTTCTTTGTGAATCCCCGGCCGTCGTTGACCCACCAGTCGGTGCTGCGAAGGTGCAGCGCTGCCATAGCAAGCATTTGTCGTGATCAATATATCAAATCGCCCAGATTTTTTTGATTTTTAACGATCTTATCAGGTAAGAATTTGAGGATACATTTAGTGCCGTTAGTACTTACTTTTCATGTAAGAAATTGCAACAAAATTTTTACAAATATCACCATAGAACGTAGAAAATTCGTGACGTAGTCAATTTAAACCCCCGCTGTCGGCTCGCGCGCCCGTTGTATCGTTTTGCACGTCGTGAAAATCGTTTGCGTTCGTTTGTCCGCCGACGCAGAGCCGAGATGGGCCGAGACGAGGCGTGCCTGAAGAAGGAAGAAGATGTAAAGGAGAGAGGAGACAACACTGAGCAGCAGCAGCAGGGCGAGGAGCTGGGAGAGGCGGAAAGGCAGGAGGGTGGAGGAGGTGATGGAGGACTGGAGGAGGAGGTGGGGAAGCGAGGGGAAGGTAGGTCAACCGTCGTAATCTCCGCATATGCTGGAAACTAACGGTCTAACTATCGATTGTGTTTTGAACACATCTTATTGAATCTATCGATTGTGGATTGTGTTTTGAACGCGCCTTATTGAATCTTTCGAATCTTTTTGAGCGCGTAGCAGTAGTAGTAGCTAGCCACATGCGTGCACACGCACGCAGACAACGCACTCACACACACAGAGGCGTGCACGCTCGCATGTACGTACACACCCACAAACTGATGCAAATGCGCGCAGGCATGCACGCACGCAGACATTCATACACATTCACACCCACTCACTCGCACCCATTCTCTCACACCCACTCTCTCACTCACTCTCTCTCTCTCCCGTGTCTTCAGATGGCGAGGCCGATGGAATGGTGTGCGCTGTCTGCAAGTCCCCGCTGGGACAGTACGACCTCAGCCGGCCGCTCACCCGAACCAACTGTGAGCAGTACGGACTGCCGCCGGAGCAGATCACGGCCGACTCGCGCGTGTGCACCACGTGCAGGTGTCGCTCCGTGCGTCGCCGCTACACGCAGTGAGTGCCCTGCCGCCGCCGTCGCTGGTGGCGGAATTCAACCTCCGATTTCGCGTTCCGCCTCGCATCTCGAGTTCGAATTTCGAGTTGGAGTTTTCAAACCTGAATTTTGGATTTTTGCGTCTTTGCGTTTTCGATGTCGTCTTTTGATGCTGAATTCGACCCCAATTTTGCGTATCACCTCTAATCTCGTGTCAGAACTTCGAGTTCGAATTTTTTGAAAACCAGATTTGGGATTTTTGCGACTGCGTTTTCGACGTCGTCTTTCGGCACGAGTTTTGTCGACGTCTTTGCTGTCGGCGCGGGACAGCGACGGCGTTAAATCCTCTGATTTTTAACTCGCGAGCAGTCGTGGACTCTTGCGTGAAGGTCGGTTCTCTGCTCAGTGCACATTTCATTTCTCGTTCGTGTATTCCATTCTAATTTGTGTCGTTTTAATTCCGTGTTCCGTCCCCCCCACCGTCTTAACCTCAGGTCCCATTTTTCGCGTGCGCTTTCTCGTCGCGTGACTCGGTCGTGGACTCGCTCGTGAAGGTCCGTTCTCGACTCGCGCACTAATCCTGTTTTCCCAGGGTTCGTAGCGGGTCTTCCAAAGTCTTATAAGTACTTATTTTGCCAAAAATAAAATAAGGGCCCTTATTAGTACTTATTTTTGGTGAAATCTTAGAAAAGTACTTAGTAGTTCTTATTTTTGCCAAAGGACCATTTTTCAACATTTTCTGTGTTTAAATTCTGTGCAATTGTGTATATAAATGTTATTAGTGTACTTTAATAGTCGGTGATCTATCAGAAATCGCGTAAAAAAGTATTATTTTGGCCTCCAGAAAGGGTCTTATAAGTCCTTATTTCAACATGTGTCTTACTACTATGAACCCTGTTTCCATCGGCCGCCGTTTGAATCGCAGGTCCCATTTTTCGCGTGCGCTTTCTCGTCGCGTGACTCGGTCGTGGACTCGCTCGTGAAGGTCCGTTCTCGACTCGCGCACTAATTCTGTTTTCCGTCGGCCGCCGTGTGAATCGCAGGTGCCCCGTGCAGAGCTGCAAGACTCCGAAGAGGAAGGTGAAGCGATTGCGTCCACTGCCGGCGAAGTGGGCCGAGCTGAATCGCGACATCAAGCAACCTATCGTCGACGACCTCCGTGAGTGTCTCCTTCGCCCCCTCGCATTCCCTCTCCCGCGGCGCGTCCTCCAACTCGAAGCTTGACTCTCCGCGGAGACGCGTCGTGCGGGAGAAAGTAGCTAACGCAAATTGCGTATACAGAGATGCCAACCACTACGATTTATCCGTATTTTATACGAATTTCTATTCCTTTTGCACCACTACGACCAGTTTGTATCAAACTACGAATTTCACTGTGATAGAATTTTTTGTCAATTTATTGTCATTTTTGATCCTCAGAATGCAGGAAATTGCATCTCAGAATCAAAAAAGTTTCCGGGGGGCATGCCGAACCCCCCTAGCAAACTCGGGTCACTCGAACTACTAATTTGATGGCCAGAAACTACAGATTGCTTCAAATATGTGTTGGCATCTCTGCGTATAGCATTCGGTATACTTATAGCATTTGGTATGCTTATAGCATTCGGTATACTTATAGCATTCGGTATACTTATAGCATTCGGTATACTTATAGCATTCGGTATGCTTATAAAGTACACAATCTATTATCCAAAATTCTGAAAACCTAAAAGCTCCGAATACCGAAAGTTTTTTCGTGGAGGTCGTCAGCACACTAAAGCTCGCGTTTGGCTGCACAAGGTTCACTGCAAAAATATTAATGTGTTTGGCATCACTCATACATATTGTACTGTACCAGAAATTAATTTTGCATTGCAGAGATTCCGGCGGAGTGCACAAAGTGCTGCTCAGCTTGTTTCAATAGAATTGCGCGGCGCATGGGGAGCGGTAGTGAGAACGTTGCTCCGGAATCCTCAGATCATGGTAACGTGTGCACATCGCTCTTATCACACTGTCAGTCTTGCGCTACATGTGTGCGTGCATGTGTGTTTATCTCTCTCCCACTCACACTCTCACTCTCTTTCTCTCCTTCACTCTCTCTCTCTCTCGCTCTCTCTCGCTCTCTCAGTCTCCCTCACTCACTCTCTCACTCTCTGTCTCTCTCCCTCCATCTCCCTCTCTCCCTCCCTATCATTTTCACACTCACTCGCATCAACTCGGTTACTTCTCCTCTCTTGTTTTCTTTCTCGCTTATTGGGTTTACTATTATAAAATATTTCTGCAGTATAAATATAATATATATCAAGGTTATATTCCATATATTGCTAAAGTGTGCTGTTATTGGTATGTACGATGCATGTCTTTTTCAGATGGAATGGAAACTTCTCGCTGGACGGAACAGGAGATAGAGATGACCAAGAAAGGTATTTTAATTTGTGAATGTAATAGCTTCTTCGGCAGGCAGGCAAGCATGTCGTTAGCTTGATGAGTTTTATAATTATTTTTCCTTCTCGCGTGTGTATGTTTGCTTATAATTTTGTAGGTATAGACGTATCAATAAATGACGGCTGTAAGGCATCGGTTAGAAAATCTGGCATTGTTATGAATTGGGTTGTGCATGGTGGTCTTGAACAGTTTGTGATTGATTGCAGGAATGAAGGAGCACGGAAGAAACTGGATGATAGTTGCCAACCTTGTTGGCACCAAGACCGAGTCGCAGTGTCGAAATTTCTACCTGAACAACAAGCGAAAGATGGGTCTCGACACAATCGTTCAGGAGTACAAGCGCAAGAAGGTATGTGTATCTTTGACCTTGTTGGTTTGTTTGTTGGTTTGTCTGTCAACATGATATCTCAAAAAGTTACGGACGGATTTTGATGAAATTTTTCGTACGGGTTGGTCTTGGGCCAACAATCAATCGATTAAATTTTGGTGGTGATCAGGATCCAGATCTGGATCCAGGATTTTTTTACTTTTTTATTTTGTTTAATATTTTTTTTGTGGGGAAGACTTCGGACGCATTCAAAATTCATCAAAAAAAAATTCTGGATTTGTTTTTCTGAAAATTTCATGAAACTACAATGGGTGTACCAGCAAGATGAGGGGGGGGATTGTTACGCTGTGGCAGAGGTTTGATATCTCCGATTGCTCTTGTTTGTTATATTTCCAGTTGACGACAGTCAATTTGTTCGAGTTGCAAGTAATGTCGACCAACAGTCGGCAACAGCTTTTGTTGTTCGCTGCGGCGTCACGTATAGTCATGTTATTTACTGTTATTTATCTGCTTTTTTTATTCTTTTAAGGCGGTAGAGAGGAGACGCAGGCAGGCGTCGGAGAGCGTCGTTTCAACAGCGCCCTCTGACGACGACATGTCTGGTGATTCGAGCGAGGAGGACAACGGGCCGGACGATGACATGAATAGCAGTGACACTGCCAGTGTCCCCAGTCCCGGATCACGTAAGTCGAAAGGTAAGAGCTACCGAGGACGTTTCCATGATCGCTCAACTTCGGGGGGTCAGAAATGTGTCTCTGCCAGAAATCGATTTTGTTTCGCGTGGAAAGGTGAATCACGACTTTGAATGAGAAGAAATCTCTAATCATTAAATTAAAAAAATAAAATTTGTTTTACTGAAATAAAAAAATAAAAAATTTATTTTTTTAAATGTTTGATTTGTAATACTCTTCTAATGCGAACTCGTTGCCTTTCTCGCAGAGAGCGAGTGCGAGGGAATGAAGCCTGATAGCCTGACCGAGGACAGAGCCGCCATCGCTGGAGGCAGGAGGAACCCCAGCGAGAGAACAGAGGGCGCTGGCAACACGCCCGAGCTGGGCGAACAAAATCTCGGTGACAACCCGGGCGTGAACACGTCTCAGAAGAGCGACTGCGACAGCAGCGCCACCCAGAGTGCTGACGAGATCCAGCCGCTCATCGAACAAGCGGACAGCTCTCAGCAGCCGACGCCGGGTGGTAGTGCTGGCGATCAGCTGCACGCGGACGCCCCGTGGCATCAGTACATGACGGTGCCGCGAGCGAGACAGCAGCCACTACAGGTGACCATCGTTGAATATCCTGCTTGTATTCACCTCGTCTTGCTGTTTTTCTTCTCGTTCTTCTTGTCTTCGACGTATTGCCGTCCGGCGGATGCGTTTTGTCGTTGCGAGGAGGTCTTACACGTTTTGTTTCGCGCGCGATGCATTCGGGAGTCGTGTAACCATAGTTCGTGTACCTATTTTCGTTAACGCGCATTCACGTACCTGCATTTGTGCTAACCTCAGAGCTACGCCGGCGCCATCAACCCAGACGCGCTGCCGATACCAGTTTCGCGAAGTACCGCCAGCCCAAGGACCCAATCGACGTCCGCGCCGGTTTCTCAAGGCCACAGCAAGACCCCAGCACAACAGGTACCTTGTTACACACCACCGTGTTTTCTTCTCCTCTCTCGCGTTTTAATTAAAAATCGTCCAGATCGACTTTGACGTGCAAGATTTCAATGTCACTTATTGCGTGCACTCCAGGTACCCATGTTTGCCAAGTTGATCATGCTAGACCGGTTTGTATGTCTGTCGCGCGTCTACTCCAAAATGTGGCACTTCGTTACTAGGCAACGTTTTTCGAACGTCCCGTCGCAATGCAGATTGGCTCACAGTTACCCCCCCCCCTCCGATCGTTTACTGCGAGTGGATATGTAGATAAAAATGTATAAATAATAAATTATAAATAAGACCAATTTAACTGATAAAGTTCTCTCGTCCAGATCGCGCACGATTTCGATGTCGGGGTTAATGTAACATATACGCTGTATATTTCGCGGTGGTTTAATTTTCGCGAATTTCACGGAACGCGTCCCTGACCGCGAAAATAACACACAAATAATTCATACTAAATAATACCGAATAATTCATAATTCACTGACCACGAAATTAACCACTCGCAAAATTGTCCGTCAAGTATGAATTCGCGAAAATATCTGTACGCGAAAAATATGCCGTATACACGAACTTAGGCACGTGCGATTGTGTGTACACAGAGCGATGCCGCAGAGCAGCACAAGAAGTACAAGGGTGAGGCGTGCATCGCCGACATCATTGACATCATGATCGACAAGAACCTGCGCGAGGACCCGCCCAACCTGCCCGTGACGACCAACAAGCTCTTCTACCAGTTCATGAAGGAGGACAAGCGGAAGGAGGAAGCGCCGAAGCAGCCGCAGCAGGAGCCGGCGAGGGAGAGTGTGCGCTCGGCGGACCGCGGCGGCGGCGGCGGCGGCGGCGGTGGGCTGGGTCTGTTTCGGCACGATCTGTACCAGCAGCAGAAGCCACCGGACGCTGACGATGTCTCTAAGCATCGACAGGACGGCCGGCTGATGACCGAAGGACGCGGCATGGATGTACGCAGCATGGATGGACGTGTTATGGATGGGCGCGGCATGGAGGGACGCGGCATGGAAGGACGTGGCATGGATGGACGTGGCATGGAGGGACGCGGCATGGAAGGACGTGGCATGGATGGACGTGGCATGGAGGGACGTGGCATGGATGGACGCGGCATGGAGGGACGTGGCATGGAGGGACGTGTCATGGATGGACGCAGCATGGATGGACGTGTTATAGATGGACGTTCCATGGAGGGACGCGGCATGGATGGACGTGGCATGGATGGACGTTCCATGGAGGGGCGTGCAATAGATGGACGTTCCGTGGAAGGACGTGGCATGGAGGGACGCGGCATGGAGGGGCGCGCAATGGATGGACGTTCCATGGAAGGACGTGGCATGGAGGGACGCGGCATGGATGGACGAGGCATGGAGGGTCGTGTCATGGAAGGACGTGTCATGGATGGACGTGGCATGGAAGGACGCGGCATGAGCGACGCGCGGGGCTTGGACGTGCGTATGATGGGCGAGGCGCGCGCGATGGCCGACATGCGGGCGGCGATGCCGGACGGCCGCACGATCGGCGAGGCGCGCGACGTCTTCGGCCGCGTCTCGTCCGAGGACGCCATCCGCCAGCGCATCATGCAGGTGCTGATGCCACCGCCGCCCGCGCACACGCAGCCGTTCGTGCCGCGCAGCGACCCGCGCCACCCAATCAACGCCGAGGGCATCTCCGCCGCGCTCCTCGAGGCCCACCAGAGGGAGCAGCAGCAGCGCGACGCGGCGGCGCGTGCCAAGTCGCCGACGTCGACGCCGCCGTCGCTTATCCGCGAGAAGACGTCGCCGGCGCCGCAGCAGCAGCCGGCGCGGCCGCACGTCCCCAAGCCGGCGAAGACGTCCAACCTGCCGCCGACGCCGCCGCTCATCGCGACGACGAAGGCGGCGCCCCCTGGCAAGCCGGAGAAGCACGTCGGCGGCATGCTGCCGGGCGCGCACGCGTACCACCAGCACATGGCCGGCAAGCAGGAGAAGCCTCAGGGCGGCTCAATCATGCAGGGCACGCCCGTGTACCACGCGGCGGTGGCGGCGGCGGCGGCGGGCGGCGCGGGGGAGACGGCGGCGCTTTACAAGGCGCAGCACGAGGCGATGCTGCGGCAGGCGCAGCCCGTGCGCTCCGACTCGGGCTCGATCACGCGCGGCACGCCTGTGTCGCATGGCGCGCGCGCGCAGGCCGGCGACGCGGCGTCGTCGTCGCGCGAGGCGGCGGCGGCGGCGGCCGGCATGGCGGGCATGTACCCGTTCATCCGGCCCGGCATGCCGATGGTGTACGACGCGGCGATGCTCGAGCAGATGTACCGGCAGCACCAGTTCTACCCCGGTCCGCTCACCGCCGCGTACGTCCAACACCAGTACGCCGCCAAGGACTCTCCCTTCGAGAGCTCGCGGCACACGCTGATGGCCGACTACGTGACGTCGCAGCAGATGCAGGCGCGGCGCGGCGGCGCCACCACGCCGCAGGACAAGGACGGGCGCACGGCGTCGCCGCGCAGCCAGCCGCCGCCGACTAGTGTGCCGCAGGGCGCGCTCGCGTCGGCCATGTACTACATGACGCCGCAGGGGCCCGTGCTCGTGCCCTCGCCGCAGGTGCCGCTGCCCGAGCCGGGGCAGGTCGTGCGCACGCCGCCGCTGCCGCCGCAGCACGCGGATGCGCGCGACGAGCCGCCATTGCCGCGCGACGCGTGGCCGACGCGCGCGCAGCCGCTGCACGCCGGCGACCGCAAGGCGGAGTACGCGAGCCCGTCGCCGCAGCGGCAGAACGTGATCACGCATCGCAGCATCATCACGGGCACGGTGATTCACGCGCCGAAGGCCGGCTCGCCGCGCGGACACGACGCGGGTAAGGCGGCGGGCGAGCGCTACAGCCCCGCGGCGGCCGGCAGCCGCAAGAGCGTGTCGCCGCAGGCCGGCTGGGGCGCGATGGCGCACGCTGTCGTCTCGCCGCGCAGCTACGCCGACGGCTACGTGGCGGCCGACGTCGCCGCGCAGGAGCGAGAGCGCATGGCCGAGCGCGAGCGCCAGGAGGCGCTGGTGAAGCGGCAGCAGGAGGCGATCGGCCGCGGCATGTACTGGCACCCGGCGATGGAAGCGGCGGCGGCGGCGGCGGAGCGCGGGAAGCGTGGCGACGATGGCGGCGGCGCCGGCGCGGCACAGCAGCAACAGCAGCAGCAGCAGCAGCAGCAGCAGCGTCATGGCGCGCGGCTGCAGGCGGAGCAGCGATGGCGGCTCGAGGAGGAGGAGCGGAGGCTGTGGGAGGCTCGCGAGGAGCGGGCCGCGCAGCAGCAGGCCGCCGCAGCAGCAGCTGCCGCAGAGAAGGAGCGGCAGGAGCGCAGCAAGGCCGAGCTCCAGCTGCAGCAGCAGCAGCAGCAGCAGCAGCAACAGCAGCCGCGCGACCACACGTGGCCGATGGGGGCGCCACCGCCACCACGGCCGGGCAGCGGGGCGAGCGGCGGGCGTCCGTCGGACCGCGAGCCGGGAGAGATCGACCGCATCATGCCCGGCTACAAGAAGGAGGACGGTGGCAAGCCTGCAGGGGCCGCCGCCGCCGCCGCGGCGACCGCAGCGGTCGGCGACGCTGGGAGCACGCGCACCGCCGCAGACCTCATCGACGCCATCATCAACCAGCAGATGAACCGCGGCTCGCACGCCGACGAACAGCCGCAGAGGGCGCCACGCGGCGGCGGCGGCGGCGGCCTGCGGCAGCAGTTCACCGACATCGCGGCGGCGCAGAACAAGCGCAAGAGCCCCGAGGGCGGGCACGCCGACACGCAGCTGTCGCCGTACAAGCGGCCGCAGTATCACAAGCTCGACCCGCTGCGCGCCAAGCACATGGAAGCGGATGTCGCCAGCAGCAGCAGCGGCAGCGGCGCCCCCGCCGAATACCGGGAACCGCCGGCGCCCTCTACCTCGGACGGAAAGGCGGGCGGCAGCGGCGGGGGTCCGGGGCAGAACGCGATTCACAGCAAGACGATCACGCTAGGCGAGCACATAGAGGCGATCATCACGCAGGACTACCGACGCGTCGCGCCGATGCCCAGCGAGCCGGCAGGGGGCGCCGCTAACCAGGCGGAGACGGCGAAGCGCAAGGCCGAGGCCGACCTGCAGAAGAACATCATCAGTTCCCGCATCCAGAGCCTGCTGCACGCCGACAGCATGCGTGCAGGGGGCGCCACCGAGCCGCCGAGGAAGGGAGACGACGCACGGCCGACGAGCCAGGTGTGTGCCGCTTCTCTTGTTCTATTGTCGTCTAAATTTGTTCTATTGTCTCGGAAATTTATGAATTTTTGTGTGTGAAATAGATGGATTCTCGATTGGAAATAGCCGGTTTAGATGATGCTGTTGCGTAGTGGTTTAGTTGCCTTTGAGATGTGTTTCACAATCGCTCTAACTAACTAAGGATTAACGTAAGGACATGCATTTAGACACGTTTAATAGTCGCTGCGCTACTTCTGTACTTGCTTTCACCGTCTCGATCGAAACCTATGCGAGGCAGCTAGCGTTTAGCTCTCTCTGCGTATGTGTATTCTCTCCTAGCAGCTAGCGTTTACCTATCTCTGTCTGTGTTCTCTAGCAGCAGCCGGCTCCTGCGAGCTCAGGGCCGGCCATGCACGGCTGGAAGCTGAGGATGGCTCTGCAGCAAGAGGAGCAGAAGGGCAGAGAGCAGGCGCAGCCCGACGAACGATCGATCATCCGCATCGCTCCCAGCACCTCTCCCCGTGGAGGCGGCGGCGGCGGCGGAGGAGGCGAGGGGTCGCGGGACGGGCTGTCGACCAGCAGGGATGGTCTCCGCGCCTCGCCGCAGGATTCACCGTCGCAGGTAAGCTGTGGCTGCACGAGGGAGGAGGGTCACCACGGTCAAAACCTGGGTGTTGCCAGTGGCAGTCCCACATGCATCTAGAGCTATCTCTCTAGTTACAGGACGACCGGTTCGTAGTTTACCAGTTGAAAATCGTGAAAACCTGAATGTTGTAGAAAATTACAGTGAACATTTTACGTGTGTAAATTAAAATTATTGCTCGAAAAGCGTATTCAGTAGAAAACCATCATAAAAATGTGGTAAAATAAAACGAACGATAAATGTCGCATAAACGAGCATTGCGTTTAGATTGAATGACCTGTTTTACATAAAATGACCCCCTGCGTCTCCGTCTCCGTGTGTCTCGTCAGATGGCGAGCTACGGCATCGAGCCGATCTCGCCGCCAGATGCCTCGGCGAGCAGCAGCAGCGGCGACTCGTGTCTCGCGCGATCCGACGTCTCGCAGTCGACCCACAGCACGATGCACGGCGCGTGGCCGTCGAGCGGAGGCGGGGGCGTGCCCGCGCCGCGACACCACGCGATGATGCAGGGCCAGCCGGATAGCACAGAGGGCAGAGGTGAGTGTGTGAGCGTGTGTGTGTGTACATGCGTGCGTGTGTGTGCGTCCGTGCGTGTGTGTGCGTGCATGCGTGTGTGTGAGTGTGTGAACGTGTGTGTGTGTGTGTGCGTGCGTGAATGTGCGTGTGCGTGTGCGTGCGTGCGTGCGTGCGTGCGTGCGTGCGTGCGTGCGTGTGTTCACGTTTGTGTGCGAGTGCGTGTGTGTGTGGACATGTATTCACGGAATACGTGGATGCGGATACAATAGAAAGAGATAATTCTTTATACAGTCATATATATATATTATAAGTGTGTGTGTGTGCGTGCGTGCGTGCGTGCGTGCGTGCGTGCGTGCGTGCGTGCGTGCGTGCGTGTGTTCACGTTTGTGTGCGAGTGCGTGCATGTGTGGACATGTATTCACGGAATACGTGGATTCGGATACAATAGAAAGAGATAATTCTTCATACAGTCATATATATATATTATAAGTGTGTGTGTGTGTGTGTGCGTGCGTGCGTGCGTGCGTGCGTGCGTGCGTGCGTGTATCAAGTAGCGAGTTTCATAATTAGCAAGTTAGGATTATCGTAACGTGGTGCAACTGTGACTGACCTGACTTGACACGCTTCCAATGAGCATTCTTCGCTCTGCCAGGTATGGGCCGCTCATTGGCACCAGGGGGCGCAGCACGCAGTAGCCCCGGCAACAGGATGTCAGCGATGGACTACATGTCGAATCGCATCGTCGAGGTGGTACGCTACAACAATGAGATGGGCGAGGGCAGGCTACCAGGCAGCCGGGCCAATCAGAGTCAAGCATCGGCTTACTCGGAAGGTGCGGAACGACTCTTCTCGCAAATGTGATTCATATGAAATATAAGAAGTGCAGCGTTATACATTTTACAGATCTTTCCTAGGTTGGAAGGAATTGGCGTGCCTGCATGCATTTCTGTTGTTTAGTAACGATCCGCATTTCGTATGTTACCTCAGGTTCCATCATTATTTAGTCGGTATGTATCTCAGTAAACATTCTTCTGCGTTGCATTGATCCGAATGTCGTTATGAATACCGGATGAATGTGTAGACGCGAGGAGAAGGATGCTGGGAGAACAGCCAGAGCCATCTGCAGTTGGGAACGGAAGCGATCGAATCGGCTCGTCTAGCACTGACCAACAGGAGCACCGCCCCATGCAGTTGTCCCCTCGACAGGTGCATGCTAAATCAAAAATAAATTATATATGAACAATATTTATAAATTAATATATAAGTAATAAATTTTGCCTGGTCGGCACAGTTACAGTTCACCTTGTTTTCTCCACATTGTACCAAAGCGAACTTATCGTGTGGCGTGCGTGCAGCACTAGCGCCAGCTCGCGCGACGACCCCACGCAAGAATCTGTCGTATCTATCTTCGATCTACGATCTCTCTATCTTAGACCTTACGATCTATCTTCGATTATCCAGGGTTCGCCGCGACAGTCGTCCCCGCGCCAGATCTCGCCTCCAGGGGGCGCCCACAAGCCGGTGATGTCTCGCAAGGCGGCGCTGCTGAAGGGCGTGTCGTCGGCGCGTCGGGCCGGGTCCGTCTCGCCGAACAGCAGTGAGGGCATGGGCTCCGGCCGGTACATGGAGCCTGCTCTAGCCGACCCCTATAACAGGTGAGACGCCGGCGTGCTCTGCTAGCTACACGCGTGATTTGGGCATGATTCATTGATTCATCAGATGATGATGTACTAGGTAGTAGTAGTAGTAGTAGTAGCAGCAGCAGCAGCAGACAGCAGCAGCAGCAGTAGCAGTAGCAGCAGCAGCAGAAGCAGCAGCAGCAGCAGCAGCAGCAGCAGCAGTAGCAGCAGCATAGCAGTAGCAGCAGAAGCAGGTATCTTACCTTTATTTTGGCTTTATTTTGGGAGTGATTCATTGATAATGAATACTAGGTAGTAGTAGTAGCAGCAGCAGCAGCAGGAACAACAGCAGCAGCAGCAGCAGTAATATTCGTAACATAACTCGTAATATCAGTGAGTAATGGTAATCACTAATAATTCACTAACGGTGAATAACTCGTGGTTTAATTAGTGGTTAACGAGCGTCGTGTTGATCAGGCTGCTGCCGACCGCCGCTGTGCACGACGCTGAGAGCTCGAGTCCGCGCGCTTCCGCCTACCACGACCCGGAGAGCTCCAGCCCTCGCGCGTTCCATCCCGGATCGTCCCCGAGTTCGCGCGCGACGCAGCGGCCGTCGTCGACGCCGAGCCCTCGCGCGCTCCAGCATCCGACGTCGTCGCCGAGCCCCCGCG